CAGCACAGCACAGCACAGCACAGCACAGCACAGCAAAACACAATAACAACCATCCCCCCCCCCTCACCCACCCCCTGACAACGATAGTGGTGTACCTTGCGGATAAGAATGCCAGCAAGGGCAGCAGTTGCGGCAACAAGATACATGGTGGCCGTCGGCGCAGCAACGTACATGCGCCCAACAACAAAGGGGCTGAGCGCCCCGCCCACCCGCGCAAAGGCCGTGGTGAACCCCAGGGAGGACGCGCGCAGGCTGGTGGGGAACGACTCTGTGGTGAAGATCCACAGCGACTGGTTGAAGCCAAGCGCACTGGCGCGCATCACAAACATGAGACCGTCGCGTACCACCTGCCACACCACGGGCGGCATCGCGCTATCACTGCTGCTGGTGTTGGTCGTGGTGGTCGTAGTCGTGGTCGTGGTGCTGCTGTGGGGCAGCGGGGTCCACGCCAGCAGCAGGGTGCCGGCAGCGCAGACGAAGAACATGATGGTGATGGTGTTGATGCGGCCAACCGTGTCGAGCAAGCGCATGGCAATGAGGAGGCCCGGTATCTCCGCCAGGTTGGCCAGAGCAACGCTCACATACGCGCTCGCAGACATGTGCGACGCGCCGAGGGTGGTGTAGGTGACGCTGAACATGACCAGGAAGTAGTACACAAAGGCCATGAGAAAGAACTCTGTGGCGAAGACCACGATGCGGCGCGCGAATGCGGCATCGCGGTGCAGCTGCCTCAGCAGCGTATGCGCATACAGCGAGAGCACAGAGCCAACGGACGATGGCAATGTGCTATGTGTGGTGATATCAGATGTGGTGGTGGTGGTGGTGGTAGTGTTGTTGTCGCCCTTGCTGTTGTTCGTGTTGTTGTCGCCCTTGCTGTTGTTCGTGCTGGTGTTGCTGTTGGTGGTCGGTGCGACGTCAGCGTCTGTGGTGCTAGGAGAAACATTAGCGTCTGTGGTGGGAGAGACATCGGCGTCTGTAGTGGTGGACGCAAAAGCATGGCACCTGTCCCCGCGCGAGGTGCCATCGCGGTCGGTATGCCAGTGGTGCAGGAGACGGCGAATATGGGGCTGCGTGCGATGCAGGGTGTGGTTGCTGGCGGCGACGGTGGTGAGGATGTCCGATGCACGGGTCACGCGGCCCCGCAGGATGAGGTAGCGCGGTGACTCCGGAAGGAAGAGGAGGACAGCAACCGATGCGATGACGGCCGGGACAGCCGAGACAGCGAGTAGGGCGCGCACGCCCATGGTGTGCACGGACCACGCCAGGAGGGCCTCAACGGTGGCGCCCACGGAGAAGAAGAGCATGAAGTAGATGAGGTGGCGGCCGCGATGGGCGCGCGGGGTGAGCTCTGTGTAGAGGGTGAGGGCGGCAGGGGTGCCGGCCACGCCAAAACCCGTGCAGCAGCGCATGAGCACGAGCTGCTGGAAGGAGGAGGCGGCAGCGACAGAGGCAAGCCCAGCAACAGCAACGACCAGCGTGAAGAAGATGGTGGCGGCGCGGCGGCCGTAGACATCTGCCAGTGGTCCGGAGACAAGCGCGCCAACGAGCATGCCGATGAAGACCCAGAAGGAGACGAGGGCCGTGTCGTGGGTGACATCATGAGTGTCGCGGGTACCCGGGCCGGTGTGCTCGTACGCGTGGGTGTTGGGCGGCGCTTGCAGTTTGTGCTGGAGGAAGGGGAGGAGCATGAGCTCTGTGGCATCTGCGAAGAGGGTTGCGCCGCACAGGAACAGGAGGACGAGCTGAAACCTGCCATACCCTGCCGCGTCCAGGCAGTCCTCATACACGCGCAGCAAGGGTGGCGACGAAGCCTGCTTCGATGGCAGTGCAGGTTGGGGCTGGTGGTGGTGGTGGTGCTGGTGGTGCTGGTGTTGGTGGTGTTGGTGGTGTTGGTGCGTCATCTTCCACCATCACAGTGGTGTGTGACAGTGTGTGTGTGTGTGTGCGCGCGCGTGTGTGTGCGTGTGTGTGTGTATGTGTGTGTGTGTGTGCGCGCGCGCGCGCGCGTGTGTGCGTGTGTGTGCGTGTGTGTGTGTGTGTGTGCGTGCGTGTGTGCGTGCGTGTGTGCGTGTGTGCGTGAGTTGTGCGATCAGTGTGAGTGAATGCCAAGAGGACAGTGCAGCAGCCGTTTGTTTGTTGTTGAGGAGGCCAGCGTGTTTGATGTTGGCAACGTGTCGGCAGACAACAACAAGTTGACGGCCGCGTAGTATAATGGCTAGTACATGAGACTCTGAATCTCAAAATGGGAGTTCGATCCTCTCCGTGGCCTCATCTTTTTTTTTTGTGGTTTTGTGCTCTGCAAGTGAAGCAAGCCAGAGAAAGGAAAGCAGCGAGTCCTCCCGAACGAGCCACGAGAGAAGGAGAGACACCATCACACCACTGTTTGCAACAGCGTAAGTGGCCAGCCACAGACATAGCGCCTCTATGTGTCTATGTGTCTCTCTCTCTGTGTGTGTGTGTGTGTGTGTCTGTGTGTGTGTGTGTCTGTGTGTGTGTGTCTGTGTCTGTGTCTGTGTGTGTGTCTATATGTCTTTGTGTCTGTCTTTGTGTCTGTCTTTGTGTCTGTCTTTGTGTCTATGTGTCTGTGTGTGTGTCCGTGTCTGTGTCTGTGTGTCTGTGTGTGTGTGTGTGTTTCTGTGTCTGCGTCTGTGTCTGCGCGTCTGTGTCTGCGCGTCTGTGTCTGTCTGTGCTGCCAACCATTCCCCCCCCCCCACCTTCTGTCCTTTTGCCCCCCTTGTCTTCCTCTGCACTCGCCCGTGTTCCTTCTGCCCCATCTTCACATTACTCTATCCTCGCCACCACTAGGACGATCAGTATCGCGCGCGGCTGCACTGACTGACGAGAGGGAAGGAGGCAAGCAAGGACAGGGGATACGTTCGACGTGACTACGTGAGTTGCCAGTCACAGCCACAGTCATCGTGTGTGTGTGTGTGTGTGTGTGTGTGTGTGTGTGTGTGTGTGTGTGTGTCTGTCTGTCTGTCTGTCTGTCTGTCTGTCTGTCTGTCTGTCCATCTGTCTGTCTGTGTCTGTCTGTGTGTCTGTGTCTGGGTCTGTGTCTGTGTAACACTCTATCTGGCCAACTTCATGAGTTTCCCACGCATGTGTGTGTGTGTGTGCGTGTGTCTACCGTCGTCTGTGCCGCCTTCGTGGATCACAGTTGTTGCTCCTCGCATGCTCGCTCTCACTGCCTCCACCACCCGCGCCGCGGCCACGGCAGCACGATGCAGGGCACGGTGTGGGCGCTGGTGGCTGAGCGGCTGGTGACGGCGGCAGCATCACAGGCGCCTTTGGAAGATGACTTTGAGAAACAGCCTCTGGATGAGGCGTCGTTTCATCCCGGCATTGAGGACGTGCGAAGTGACCACGCGCGGACCTTCTTCAACCTCATGCTGACCTGCCGTGAGCTCTACCACGACCTGCCCTGGGCAGTGCCAAGGTGCGTGGCAGTGGTCGGCTGTCGATTGTGCGTCTGCACGATGTCTTCAAGGCGCGTCTTCGATGGTGCACGATTGAGGGCTTTTCTTGCTTCCTCGGTGTCCAGCTCCTGATATTGAACGACTACGAGTTTGACAGCCCGGACCAACTCCAGCACGTTCGCTGCCTCGTGCTCCGCTGCTGCTGCACAACGGATGAGCGATGGCATTGGCCCGACCTTGTACTTGTGGACTGTCCGCCGGAGCACGTCACCCGCGTGCTGCTGGCAGGCAGGAAGCAACTCAAGCCATAATGCACACGCGTGCGTGCGTATGTGTGTGTTTGTATGTGTGTCTGTACGTGCGCTTGATGTACTGGTGTCCGTGTGCGTGTCTCTGTGTCCGTGTGCGTGTCTCTGTGTCCGTGTGAGTGTGTGTGGGCGTCTGTGCATGCTTGCGCATGAGTGTCGTGCTTATCCCCCCAGCATCCAGTCCAACCCTTTGCCATCAAGCTCGGCCACCTTCAAATCCAACGAGAGAGCATGCCATCTCTTCTCCGTTGCTCACCAACCGCGCGATCCGCCTCCTCTCCGTTATCAATCTTTTGCTCCCTGTTGCTCCAGTACGTTATCATGTTGGCCGTTCAAACATGTGTTAGTCCTTTGGCTAGTTCCTTCAACCTGGTGTGGCAGTGCCCGTTTCTTACGTTGTCGCGTTGTCGCGTTGTTGCGTTAAATAACGTGACGGACTACCTTTCTCGGAACCCTACGCTATCCTCCCTCCAGCAAAGTACAAAGTCATCAGGCAGTGAAACAAACACAAATGGGACGTGGTGCTGAGCGCAGCATCTGTGGCTTGTGGCTTGTGGCTTGTGGCTTGTGGCTTGTGGCTTGTGGCTTGTGGCTTGTGGTGGCTGGCGAAAAATTTAGATGCTTTCATAAAGAAAATTGATTCATCATCATCACAACAGAAGTGTTGGTCGGGTGTCCGAGCGGTCCAAGGAGTTACGTTCAGGTCGTAATCTGCTTCTGCAGGCGCGGGTTCGAATCCCGTCCCGACCATACGATATTTTTTTTTATTTCGCCAGGTGGTGGAGTGGTATGTCACTCACTACTTCACTACATACATGTCTTTTGTTTTGTTTTCTGGTGCTGCATGGGTGTGTTGCACGTGTTGTACTCCTGAAGAGCGTGAATGAACGTTGCCTGCAGGCAGTCAAACACGATGCCCCAACGCGAACTCAACTGAAGGAAACAGATGTTGTCACCTCATTAGTTGTCATCTTACATTACATAGGTGCGGTCATTCATTTCTTATGACACAAGCACTCGCACGAACGAAGAGAACGAAGGTGGTTGTTTATGGCAGGACCAAAGGGAACGAGCAGGACAACGAGCAGCAAACACAAGAAACAAGAAAAGGGATGTGACCCGTTTCCTGTAACATTCAAACACAAACAAAGGCAGGCACGCATGCACACACACACACACACACACACACACACACACACTCACTCACTCACTACCTCTCCCCCTTTCTATCCTCATGCCTCCATCCGCTCTCGCCCCGCAAGCAACACTCGCGCCATCTCCTCCGGTGAGCGGTCAACCAGGGCAACATCAGGCCAACGCCACCGCTTGTCCGTGCTGGCGCAGTGGCGCAGGACAAGGCAACCAGAACGCGGAAGGAGCGTGTCTCCAACATCAAATGCGCAGCAGTCCACAATCAGGCGTTGTACACCCTGGAAGCAGGCGAGGTCCTTGATAATACAGTGCCGAAGGTGACACATAAACACGTCACGACACTGCGTGAGAACCAGGCCAGCGACGCCAGAAGAGTCGTGGCTGTCACTGGCCGGCAGCGTAGAAGAACGACCGTACACAGTCGCCTGGTGCACAAGGAGCGAGCCAATAGATGCCAAGGCAGCGCGCCCATAAGCGGCTTGAAGGAACAGAAAGTCGCAGTCCGAAACCTCCCCGTCCAACGAGCAGCGCAGGAGATGAAGATACTTGCGACCCGACAGCAGGTGGACATCACGGATCGGGTGCTCGCGCAGACCAAGAATGACCAGGCGCGGCACATGCCCCAGCAGCTCGCAGCGTACATCGCCCTCCGCGAGCACACACAGCTCCTGCACACAGGCGGGCGCTGCCACGTCGAGATCGTGCACCTCCGCGCTGATATGCACATTGTCTGCGATGCCGCACAGGTCACTCACGCGCCGCACACACTGGCCACGAAGGATGAGCTTGCTCGCGCAGCGACTGAGACGGACCACGGTATCGTGCGACAGTGGCTCACTGGATGTGCGCAGTTTCAACACTTCCGCATGCTTGAGCTCGGGCATCTCGGGTGGAGTACCCTCAATGTCAAGCCACACGAGGGAGGGTGGGAAGACCAGCCGTTTTACACCTGACCGCGGGGCTTTGATGTGGGTGGCATTTGGCAGGTGCAGCGTGTCGGTTGAAATCCTCGTGCGCGACAGGTTGACATGAGTGGCGTGGAGAGTGCCAGTCTTCAGCTCCATGGTGCTTCCGAGACGAACGTGTTCAACTGCCGCCACAGCTGCCTCGTAGTTGACGGCGATCGTGCGCTCGATAACAAGCTTCTTCACTCGAGGTAGGGGCGAGAGGTCGACGACCTCCTCGTCGCAACCTGACAGCTGGATGCTCGGAATATCGGCCAGGGCATCAAGGTTGAGCAGGGAGGCGCGAGCACGTGCTTCAAAGTGCTGCACATTGTCAAGCAGGAGGCCACCAGGAGCGGGTTGTTCGCGCAACTTGCAGTCCCACGTCACGCGCTCCACATCCCGAATTCTGGCACACCCGAGTGTCGCACGCCAGGAAGTGATGATAAGGTTGTCGATGTGATCGCCTGCGAGCGACGACAACGACTGCCCGAGTTCCAGCATCACCCTGTCCCCACGTGCACCAGCCAAAACAGTGGAGCGCAGCTCATGCCAGCGATCAGCGTCAGCCTGTCCCTGCAGTGTCGCGTTCAGGGAGAACAAGGCCGGCACTAATGCAGCCACATGTTGATCGTCAGCTCGCTGTTGTGGCAGCACACCTGCCTCCCCAGCACAGGCCGTGTCGTGCTGCTCGAGTTGATGTTCTGGCTGATCACGGGCGCGGCTGTCGTCCTGTGCCTCTGATGTGTTCGCTAGTGCAACGCTTGCTCTGTGCTCATGTCCGCAACTGCAGCGTGCATGCATCACTTCCGCCGCCCAAGACTCGAGATCGTCCAAAGAAGCAAACATCACGCGCCCGCAATGCCGAAAGCGACGCGAAAAGGCAGTCGTTGGCTGTGATGCGCGCAGCCTGGAACGCAAAAAGGAACACCTGCCGTCCCATGTGACACCAAGCCAACAGTACACAAGGAAGCGGTTCTCCAGCCACGAAGCATGCGCGGCACGCCCATCGGAACCACGCTGGTCACAAGACGAAGAAGAAGGCAGAGCGTCAGGTGCTGTGGAACCAAGGAGGTCTGCCTGAAACTTATCGAGCCATTGGTCGAGTGACCTCATTGGTGTATCCTCAAACACCACAGCGAGGCCCCACTTTGGCACTGCCCAGGGCAGGTCGTGGTAGAGCTCACGGCAGGTCAGCATGAGGTTGAAGAAGGTCCGCGCGTGGTCACTTCGCACGTCCTCAATGCCGGGATGAAACGACGCCTCATCCAGAGGCTGTTTCTCAAAGTCATCTTCCAAAGGCGCCTGTGATGCTGCCGCCGTCACCAGCCGCTCAGCCACCAGCGCCCACACCGTGCCCTGCATCGTGCTGCCGTGGCCGCGGCGCGGGTGGTGGAGGCAGTGAGAGCGAGCATGCGAGGAGCAACAACTGTGATCCACGAAGGCGGCACAGACGACGGTAGACACACGCACACACACACACACACATGCGTGGGAAACTCATGAAGTTGGCCAGATAGAGTGTTACACAGACACAGACCCAGACACAGACACACAGACAGACACAGACAGACAGATGGACAGACAGACAGACAGACAGACAGACAGACAGACAGACACACACACACACACACACACACACACACACACACACTCACACACACGCACACACACACACAC